GAGCTGTTCTAGCAAATTACTGAATGCACAAAGGGGGTCACAGGAACCCCCAATTTATGTAGCCAGTTGGTCAGAAGTACAGGAGGCACGGGACTTGTGACTGGCATCTTAAGTGGCAGGCAGTCTTATGGGACTGAGACCTTAACCTGTGGAGTCTGACTCTAACTCCAGGTAGTTAGTGTCGGAATTGAATTGAACCATTGGACAGACAAAGATTAGAGTCCAGAGAGCTGCAAAATTGTTTGGTGTGGAGCAAAAAAAAAAAAAAAACCATACATTTGGTGTCAAAAATGTTGTGAGTAAAAAATAAATCTCACCTTCACCAGCTGTAAACCACTCTGTCAGCACACCACCAATGGGGATAGCAATTGGTCCTACCTCATCAGATTGTTAGGGAATTAAATAAGACATTGCATGCAAAACACAAAACACTAGCCTGGTGCCTAGAGCAGACTCTATGCCTGGTAAATGGTAGGGCTGTTGATATGGCATGAGTCATGATACAGAATGGATTGTACAGTACACCGCTACCTACATGTGGGAATTTCTGTATGGGTTGCAAAGAGGCCGAATTAGAAGAGCGTGTTGTTTCCTTTCCAGGTTCTGTTCCTGTATATAGAATTGCTGCAAGATCTAAGTGTATTTGCTTAGCAGAAGAGAGAAACTGTGAGGCTTCGATTGCTTGTTTTTTAGAAGTCACATTTGACTTTGTAAATAAACCAAAGGCCCTACCCCACCTGCAGACAATGCACTGCTGCAGATAGTATGGGCAGCCCTAGTTCTCTTCAAAGAGCAGAGGATACCAATGCCCTGAGGCCCGCCTCTTCCAGGAAGGGAAGAGCAGCCAGGGAGAAGCCCCTCACACCCCCTGCACTCTCCTCTCTGGGTTCTGCTATCTGGAAGGGGCTGCAAGCAGCCTCATTTGCATTCCCAGTTGCTTAGTCTGTACCTCTGCAGTTCTGTGCTAGTGCACATGGAACTTTCTGTTCCTTTGTGGACAGCAAAGTCAAAGGTCTGTTGCTGCAGGCTCTTTGGAGTCCCCTTTTGTTGCTCCCCTGCCCTGCCTTTATGCCTTTCTACTCCTGGGCGCCAGGAGACGCAGCTGCGTCCTTTCCTCTGTGAACACAGCCCTGTACAAAGGTTATCCAATTGTCCCTCTGAAGCTGTGGGGTACAGCAGGGTGAGAACATGCCCACCTCATCTCTGTAACCTGCTGCCTATTGCGAGGCAGCGGCCACTGCTCCTTTCCTTGCTCCCCTTCATCCATATCCAGCTTCCCCCTAGAGTCCCTTTTGCATAGTCCCTTGTAGAATCAGAT